ACTTGTACTCAACTATATTTTAAAAATAGATGTTATAGATGCTTTTCAAAGTACTCAGGTGCCTTTGATGTAGTTTTATTAAGTGGCTAATGGTTAAATAGGTAGTTTTTGTCTTTTTATAGGTACTTGGAAAACAGTAGTACTTGAGTGTTTTTATACTTGTACTCAACTGAATTTTTTTAGGAGTACTCTGGTGCCCTGGTTGCAGGTTTTACACTGTTAAGAAAGTATTTTTTTTGTCTTCAACTAATACAGTTTTAGTTTATATGTCCTCTATTATAAATAGAAGTACTTGAGTGTTGTGTTTTCTTCTACTTTCTGCTTGTACTCTGCTTCACTCATCTGAAGTCTTAAGTTGTTTTTGTGTGGTTGTGATTAACATGTTTGCTTTTAGCAGTACTACATGCAGTTTTAGGTACTTTGAAATGAAGGTACTTGAGTGTTTTTATACTTGTACTCAACTACATTTTTTTTATAGATGCTTTTTAAAGTACTCAGGTGCCTTTGATGCAGGTTTTCTACGGTGGCTCATGCTTAAATAGGTAGTTTCAGTTGCAGACTTAGTTTATAGCTACTTGGAAAATAGAAGTACTTGAGTGTTTTTATACTAATTTTTTTTTTCACAGAAGCTTTCACGAGTTCTCAGGTGCCCTTGGTGCAGGTTTTATACTGATAAGAAAGTTTTTTTTGTCTGCAACTAATATAGTACTTAGTGTATAGGTACTTGAAAAACAGAAGTACTTGAGGATGATATTTTGTGCTTCTTTCTACTTGTACTCTGTGACACTCATCTGGCCTGTTGAGTTGTTTTTGTGTAACTGTAATTTACATGATGCCTTTAAGAGTACAAAATACAATTTTAGGTACTTGTACATCAAAGTATCTGAGTGTTTTTCTACTTGTAATCAACTATATTTGTTTTTCTAGATGCTTTTAAGAGTATTCATGTGCCTTTGATGTAGGTTTTGTGCTGTGACTTGTGATTAAAATAAGTACTTTATGTCTACAATTAATGTAGTACTTAGGTTATAGGTACTTGGAAAGTAGAAGTACTTGAGTATTTTCATGTTCTTTTCTGCTAAGTTGTGTTTTTGCAATTTCACTTGACATGATGCCTTTGAGAGTATAACTTATAGTTGTAGGTACTTGTAAATGAAAGTACTTCAGTGTTTTTACACTTGTATTCAACTACTTTTTTGTTTTTCTTGATGCAGGTTTTATACTGTTAAGAAAGTAGTTTTTGTCTGTAACGAATATAGTTCTTAGTTTATGGGTACTTTGAAGATAGAAGTACTTGAGTATTATATTTTCTGCTACCTTCCACTTTTACTCCACTACACTCATCAGAAGTCTTCAGTTGGTTCTTTTGTAATTGACAGGATGCTTTTAAGAAACAAAACAAAAAGGCAGTCAACAGTGCTGTTTTAAGTCCTTGAAAGAGGAAGTACTTAAGTATTTATCTGTTTATACTCTACTACAGTTTTGATAGAAGACGAACATAAACTTTTATCAGAATACCCAGTTCCCCTACTTATTCTCTTATTGCAGGTTTCAGGCTGCAGGCTGGGTCTTTATCTAATTAAGTCGTTTTTTGCCAGCAGTAATACATTACTTACTTTGTAGGTACTTGGAAATGAAAGTACTTGAATATTTCCATTTTCTGCTGCTTCATACTTGTACTCCATTCATCTGAACTCTTGAGTTGCTTTTGTGTATCTGACGTTTACATGATGCTTTTAAGAAACAAAGCAAGAAGGCAGAGCCTTAAGTACAGTTTTAGTTACTGGAAAACGGAAGTAATCAAGTATTTTCATACTCATACTCTACTACACTTTCCTTAGAAACTTTTATTAGACTACTGTGGTCCCGTTGACACAGGTTTAGGGCCGTGGCTTATAGTTGATTAAGTGGTTTTTGTCTGATACAAATACAGTACTTTGTTTTTACTTGGAAATGAAAGTACTTGAGTATTCTTATACTTGTACTTCACTACATTTTCCCTTGAAAGTTTTAACAAAGTACTCAGGTCTCCTTATAGCAGTTTTCAAGCTGTGACTTTTACAAATTAAGTACTTTTGCTGTATTACTAAGACAGTTTTTAGATTTTCGGTGCTTTGAAATTAAAAGTACTTAAATATTTCCATATTCTGCTACTTCATACTTATACTACAGTAAACTTCAGAGGGGAGTTTGTACTTTTTATTAAGGTTTTACATAAAATAAAAACATATAAGCTGCCGAGAGCCTCTTGTTGTTAGTTGCAGGTGGTGACTTTTACTAATTAGTTTTTCTGTAGTACTAGTACAGTACTGAGCTTTTAGATGCTTGGGAAATAGAAGTACTTGAGTATTTCCATATTCTGCTGCTTTATACTTGTACTACATGCATTCATCTAAGTTCTTAAGTTCCTTTTTTGTTTTTTAACACTTACATGTTACTTTTAGGAAGCAGAACAAAGTACAAAGTGCAGTTTTTAGGTACTTGGAAATGGAAGTACTTGAGTGTTCATATACTTATACTACATTTTTGTTAGAAGCGTTCTACAGAGTACTCGGGTGTCCTTATTGCAGGCTTCAGGCTGTGGCTTTTACTAATTTAGTAGTTTTTGTCTGGTACCAATACAGTACTTAGTTTTCAGGCACTTTAAAAATAGAAGTTCTCAAATATTTCTTATGTTGTACTTGTACTCCACTACGTTCATCTGAGTTCTTTTACTTTTTACTTGATACTTAGATTGACTTGAGTATTTTTATGCTACTACATTTTTTATCAAATAAAAACTTTTAAGGATTTTAAGAGTACTTAGAGCTGCTTGTTGCAAGTTTCAGGATGTGGCTTTTAGCAATGAAGTAGTTTTTCACAAGTACTAACCAATACATGACTTACTTTTTAGGTTCTTGGAAATTGTATTTGAGTATTTTTGTTTTGTACTACTTTATACTTGTACTGTGCCAAATTTCAGAAGGAAATATTGTGCAGTTTATTTTTGTGTACTTACAACTGACACTAAACTTAAAAACACAAGCAGCTGATCAGAGTAGTTTGAGGCTCCTGTCACAGGTTTTAGATTGTGGTTTGTAGTAATGAAGTAGTTTCTCATGAGTACTAATACACTACAGATGTGTAGAAGTACAGTTTTGTGGTACTTGTAAATGGAAGTACATGAGTATTTCCATCTTCTGCAACTTATTGAACGTTTTATTGCACTGCATTCATCAGAATTCTTTAGTTTATTTTTGTGTAATAACAACTTAGAGTACAAAGTACATTTTTTAGATATTTAGAAATATAACTACTTCAAGAGTACCATTTCCTGCTCCTTTATACTTCTTACTACATGAGATTTTACTCAAAAAAGAAACATACAAGCTTTTATCAGAGTTCTCTGTCACATGTGTTAGAGTGTGGTTTACTAACTGAGTACTTTAAAGTACTTTTTACTGTATTTCTACATTCATGGGAATACTTTAGTTACTGTCTGTGTTTACTTAAAGCTTTTAAATACAAAACAAAACACTGAGTAGTCACGATCACGTGTTTCATCTTGTGAGGTAAAGTACAGTTTTGTGGTATTTGTGAAACTGCAGTACTTGAGTTATTCTGTTTTCTGCTACTTTCTATTTGTGCTTCACCGTATTTGTACTTTTTCTGGCACTACATTCATTTGATCAGATTAACGTAGTAGAAAATCATTTAGTGAGTATAAAACAGAAATCAGAGTACTTTGAACCTCTTGTTGCAGGTTTTAGACTGTGGGTTGTAGTTTGAAAGTACAGTTTTAAAGTAGTTGTAAATGGAAGCACTTGAGTATTTCCTTTTCCTGCTGCTCTATCCATGTACTCCACTACACTTCAGATGAAAATAGTGGACTTTTTCTCCGAAACGTGGGAGTTAAATGCAAAAACAAAGGGTGATATTGTATTTTTTTACTCCTCTACATTCATCTGAATGCTGTAGTTGTTGTTTAATAGTTTTTGTGAATACTTGGTAACTAGAAAACTGAAGTGTTGAGTATTTGCCTGCTTGTATTCCGCTATATTCTAGAGAAAATGTACCTTTTGCTGCACTACTTTCACCGGACAGCTGTTAGTTTTTGTGTTAGTACAATTTGTATAAGGTTTGGCTGCTTGAGTATTTCCATTTTCTGCGGCTTTATACTTGTACTCCTCTACATTTTGAAGGAAATATTGTAATTTCATTGCACTGAATGAGTACTTTAGTTCCATGTTCCTGAACTAAACCTGTAATATTCTTATAACATCCAACACATAGTAAAAATTAAACCTGTTCTCTGACGAGCTAAAATCATTTCCACTTTAAACTTCTCTGATGGGTTTGTGATAAATAATAAATCATTAATCTGGTGACCCTGTGGAGGAACTCAGCCCATAGCTTGGCTCCAATTTCACACACTTACAGGTTGCTATTAATTCTGAAAACTTTCTTACAGACCTTATGTTAATGTTTCTCATGTAGCACACCAGGGGGCGCTACAGAGAACTGTTAAGATCTTTTTCCCTCCAAACTTTGCTCTTGAGTTATTTCTCCTCTAGAATGTATTAAAACAAAACCAGTTAAAAGTAAAAGCTCCCTCTGTGGTTGTGACTGGTCGACTTCACTTTGTTTTAAAGAGTCACAGGAAAAAAAAAAAAAAAAGAAGCCGTTAAACTTCTCACCTGGTCGTATTTAGACGATAGTTGGAGGCGCTTTGTGGAGGTGGAGTAGGAGGAAGTGTTTCTAAAAGATTTACCGTCTGCCTCGGTGACTTCAGGGTGTCTGCATGACAAGTAAATACATCAGTGGAGGAGTGTAACCAAGTCAAATCGGATTTGTTATTATAGCGGGATTAAAAAAAACAAACCTAGATGAGTCCCAGAACAACACAGAACCAGTTTTGGAAGCTACTGTTAGGACTTCAGTGTACTTTTACGGTGCTTGTACTTTATTAAAATACATTCTATGTTTTGTACTCGTACTAAACCGCATTTCAACGGGAAATATTAAGAATATTATCATTTTTTTAAGCTACCAAAGGTTAAAAAAACGATCATGTTTTCAAAATAGATAGTTTTTTTTCTTGTTTTCTCCTCCATTATGTGTCCGTATTAAACCAGATGTGACATTTTTTACCGGTTATGGAGTGCTTTAAAGTACACGTTATTGATGATGCTGCTGTAGTTTGGTGGGAATTGTGAATGCAGGCTTTTTGCCTTGAATGGAGTATTTCTGCTGAAGTGAAGGTTTTCGAGTCTGAGAGGCTTCAGGCTGTTTTCAAAGAGTAAATTTATGTGTTTAAGATGAGCCAGCTGACGATATAATTTGGCTGGATTTCTACCAGCTGCCTCGTGTGTGTGTGTGTGTGTGTGAACTACATCTGTATACGTCCATTTGGTCTGTTTTGGTTCGTGTTGTTCACATGAAGTCAGATATGAGGAGACATTTTACTGCACAGCTGTAACTACACGAAGCTGATAATAGCTGTGTACTGACGTAGAGTTCAGAATGCAGGACTTTCACTTATGATGCAGTATTTTTATTATTTATGACCTTCTGCTAATTAGGGCTGCAGTCAACTAAAGAAAATGTTGGTGTTGCTGAAATCATACTGACTTTTCAACCAATCGATTGATCGCGGGGAATAAAAAGGCAGCAGGAGAGCAGCCTTATTAGCCTAAATTAATTCTAAATCGACTTAGAAAGGTAGTGTTTGAGGTATGATAAATAATCTTTAATACAGAAATGATAACAGACTCAAAGTGGACCAGCTTTAACCTGTGAATATTCCTGTGATGCAGAATTTGGGAAAGTTAGCTGCTGTTTTAAATGACCTGCATGTTGGTTACTGGTATTTGATATCCAGTTTGCTGTTTGCAAAGTTTTTGGCCAACAATAAAAGGAAGTTAGTTGGAGTCCACGTAAACTTTCCTCCTTATGAAAGTTACACCGGAGATTGATGTGAGCGTATCGACCGGCCGACCCGGAGACTTACAGCTCCGTGATGTACAGTCCAGTTAAAAATACTTCCCCTGCTGGGACAATAAAGTCCGAACGACTCCGACTGGTGCTCTAAAGACCTGAGATGTGACTTGGAATAATGTCCGTCCTTGTTGTTGTTGTTTCTCTGCTGCTGTGAACCTGCTGTTATTTGTTAGACGTCGGAGCTCACAGTGTGCGTTTGTTTCGTGTTGCAGGGCAGCACAGAGGGGTGGAGTCCAGTCCCACAGCCAGGTGGTGAGTCCCTTCTTATAATCATTCATTGAAATAACGATTTTAAAATTATAGCGTGACTTGAATTCTGATACGTTTGATAATAATGAAGCAGCCTGTGTTAGTTTAATCAAATTAAATCAAGTTTATTCCCGCAGCATGTTTAAAACAAACTAAGTTTTGTACACGTTTACAGTCTGGCAGCAACAAAAATAAATCAATTTGTCGAAGAAAACAAAATTACAAAAAATATTAAAGCAACACAAAACAGGATGATGAGACAAGTTTAAAATACAAGAAATGTGAAACACTAAAGCGATTAAGAGCCACCTAAACCGTGTACGGCTTAAGATATCCTCTATAAACTATAACTGGAGAAGGAGCTTTATATTTATTATATAGTTATTATCATGTATTTTAAATATGAGCTATTTAAGAGTGAAATTATGGTTAGTTTTCATAGTGCAAAGTTGCATATAAACTTCTAATTTCAAGGCTCTTTTGAAACTGTCTTGTAATAAAATAAAAGTTATTTCTGACACATTTTAAATTTAATTGTAACTTGTTTTTAGTTTGCAGAAAAGGTTATATTATGTGTTTGAGTTCAATAAGTAGGTGAAGATGCATCCACAAGGTTTAAAAGTCAATGAAAATTTCATAAAAAACGTTAAACAACTTTGTGTTTTAGATCAGTGAACCAACTTGTCTCAGTTAAAGCAACGTTGACTCTGTCGAACATTTACTGTCAAGTCAGAATTCAGGAAACCAAAAAAAAAAAACGCAGTTAAGCAACTTTAATTTACTGACTAATTAAACTGTTAATGAAGAGGCAGACAGCATGTAATTAAGTTTGGTAATTAAATACATTTACTCTGTGTGAAGTCAGTAATACTGAAGTAACTAATTGAGCCACAATGGTGTAAAATACATTCACGTTTAAGTTATTTAATTTTACAGATGTGTTTACTTGGTATGACTGATTTTATTTAAGATTTAAAGTCACATATGATGTGTTACAAAGTGCAGATAAACAATGCCATAAAGCAACGAAATGCTTGATTTTATTGTGATTATTAGTTAGTTTGTCCCACTGAGGATTAAAACTGTTGTTAAATGTTTATTTAGCATTAATTTAGCAGTTTTACGACCTCCATCAGCGTAAACTAAGCTTCATAGTTAGATTTATTTTGTATTTAAATGATAATTGTGAATTAAATACATTTTTTCAATAACATTAAAGTTATGTTTAATATATTTTTATATGTAAGTACAACTACGTAATAATGGAAAGGCTTGTAACGTAATGTGTTTTGATTGTTCAATGAAGCAACTTATTTAATTTAATTACACAGCAACGTATATGTTTCAAACATAATATTAAAGACAGTTTTCTTTCACTCTGTTTGACTGTTGTAATCGTAATGAAAAGCTTTTGTTTACCTTGTTGTAGAATCGTACTAATTTGCTGTCTTGTGTGTTTTTGTTTGTTTGCAGCGGCACTTTAATGCTTCAGTTGGATGGTTTTCCTACTGGAGACGGTGTTAAGGTAAAAGCACACATATTACTGTATGTATTATAGTAACAACAAGTCAACATATAGAATATTAATACAATAATGACATGTCTAATATACAGTATTAATTACGGTAAAAGTATGTCTACATATGCAGTAATAATACAGCAATAATATGCCCAAATATGCAGTAATAATACAGTAACAGCACGTCCATATCTACAGTGTTAATACAGTAGTTATATGTCCAAATACAGTATTAATTAGAGTAATAATATGGCGACATATATCGTATTTATTACAGTAATAATACACCCACATTAGCACAATATGCAGAATAAATTACGGTATAAATAGTTTTGCATATATTGTATTACTGTTGTAATACATTTACTTTGACTGTAGTTATACAATAATAATAAACCACATATTTAGTCTTAATTACAGTTGTAATATGTTCATATTTGTAGTAGTAATTGTCCACATATATAGTAGTAATACAGTAATAAACATATACAGTAATATTATGGCAATCATACATCCACATATGCAGTGTTATTACAGTAATAATTTGTCCACATGTACAGTAGTAATTAATAAACATATACAGTAATTTTGCGGTAATAATACGTCCACATATACAGTGATAAAACAATAGCAGTATATCCACATTTACAATATTATTACTGTAATAATACATCCACATATGCAGTATTAATTACAGCATTAATACTTTCACATATACTGTTGTGCTAAGGTAATTTGTTGACGTATGCAGTATTAATACAGTAATACGTCCACATATACTCTATTAATGAAAGTGATACCACGTCCACACATGCAGTATAAATCCAGTGCTGATGCGTCCACATGTACAGTATTGATTACAGCTGTAATACATCCACATATGCAGTATTCATACAGTAATAATACTCCTGAGGAAAAGTACTTTTGCAGCCTGAAACTTTTGCTGCTTGTTTACTTCACACCTGTGCTGATATTTAATCTGGACCTGCCGTGACCTTGTGTCACCTTGACGATAAAGTATCACCGCCCGGTCCCGTACGGCTGCACGTCACGTATCCATGACGACGGCCGCGACGGCGACCACAGAGCGGGCGATTCCTGTCGAAGCTGCTGTTTACACCCCCCCGTCCGTCCTCCCCGTGGTGTTTGTGTGCAGGCTGATCGATCGGCTGGCAGACTGACTGGATCCATGATGGAATTACAGACGTTACAGGAGGCTCTGAAGGTGGAGATCCAGATCCATCAGGTGAGACTGGTTTCCGGGCCACTGGGTTACTGGGTTAGCAGAGCCACTGGGCTCCACGCGAGAACCTCTCCTTGTTCTGACTGCTTCCTGCGAGCTCGGCTTTAACTTTGTAAACTGCATAAAGTAGTAAAGGGTCGTAGTAAAAATCCCCAACTCCTAGCCATCTTCAGTTGGAGAGATTTTTGTTTTAAAGTGATGAATATTGATTAAATCGATCATGTGTACAATCTGGGCTCATAGCTAGCATTAGCTTTTGAGTTAAGATAAGATAATCCTTTATTGCTCCCCACGCCAGGAGAAACTCCCGATGTTACAACAGCAGCATCTTTCACAGCAGCACTAAACATATGCATAAATAATAATAATAAACAAAGTAGTGGCAACACAGTGTGTACATCCATGGTTGCATTGTGTAAATGTGACACACCTACTTGGAGAAAAAACTAGAAAAGGGGAGAGAGACGACAGAAAGTAACTAATCTGGAGTCATGTTAATTTTGACACTATTTTCTTCACGCCAATCTGTGGAGCAAAGTTTGAAGTGCCATAGCTTTAAAAATATTGTAGCTAAAGTCCTGAGATTTTGCAGGTTCATTGCTAAGTATATGTGGTCTTCATTAGTACAACCCTGCTTTGATAGAACAATACAAACCAGTTATATGATGGTGCAAGTTCGGTCACAAAATGTCCACGCTCCTGTCGTCTCCGATGTTCCACCGACCATTAAACGCTAATTTTTCACCCCAAGAGGCTGATTGCTTTTCCTGTGATTGGCACCAGAAGGACTTTTAAAAATATAGTGTGGTGCCAGTCGGAGGCAAACTTTATTGAGAATTCTCCAGGTAGCCTGTTCTCGGCTCACCTCAAGAATAGGAATAATCACAGACGCTGTGCTACAGCCCGGTCTGCAGAGTCGCAGCCTTTCAGAAACGTCCGCCGGAGTTTTTCGGTGTTCGACACGAGGGGCAAAGTGACCGTCTGCAGCAGCCCGACGTGTTCCTATTGTAGTCTGAATAGAACCGCAACCGCTGTTCGCCCCGGCCTTAAGGCTGCCTGTTTTGCTTCATTTTTTTTTTCCTACCAGGGATTCATTCACAAAAAAATGGTTCTGCTCGAGCACAAAGACGAGTTTCTCAGAGGGAAGCTTCAAGAGGACAGTTTTAAAAAGAAACGAAATGTTAAAAGTCCGTCCGTCAGCGTCGAGTCACCGGGTTCAGGCTGCATGAAGTCAGAGGCTGAAAAACGTCTTTATGAAGCAAAGAGGTCCGTGATTAATATGTGAGGCGTCGAGGGGCCGACAGCCACTGAGATATTAGACGGAGAATATTACAGCCGGCTCGGCCTGTGATGCTTCGTGTTTTCTTCTCAAGGTTCAGAAGCAGAAACTCTAAAGCTTCGAGTTCCACCTGGACGTTCTATCAAAGCATCGTTTGCTGCTTATCAGCTCCAGCATGTTAGCAACGTTAGCTTCTAGCCTTCTCTCTCCATTTGTTTAGGAGCTAAAACTCCTACAGTGACATCCAGATTAAAACGGCTCCACGACAACGCTGCTCGTATGAAAAAAGAAAATTTTTTTTAAAGTGTCAGAAAACTTGGAGGTGACTCAGAAACAAAACAGTGTTTCAGTAAAATTTCTAATTTTTTTTTGTGCAGCTAAAATAAAACATGTTTTCCAGTACAGATGATTGATTTGCTCAATATGATCCTTTAACGGTCAAAACCTGACAAACAGTGTTCAAGTGTAAAATATAACATCAGAATAGTTTGAAGTAGGCAAAGTAAATGTACAACTTTTTATTTTACAGACACATTTATCTGTTATTTAAATAATAATAGAAATAATGTGAAGTCACTAAACAATAAGAAACTAAATTATAATTATTATTGATTTAAAAAGTGTCAAGCAGTTGTACAACATCCAGAAATATACACGCTAAAGTAAAAATGTACGATTTTTAAGTTTTTCTACTTCAGAAATTAAGTACAAATGAAGAATGTGAAAGATTTGTCAGAAATAATTCAAAGTAAATAAAACAACATGACAGTAATCTTTCTGGTTTTATTCTGATTGTTGCAAAATACAATAAAAACTTCAGTTACAAATAGTTTTGGAAGATTTATATAATTGAAAATATTTTTTTGTTGGTAAATTTGTGTTGATTTGAACAGTTTAGTGATTTTACAACATTTAGAAACAGTCCAGTGGCGGCTGGTTAATACACTACTACTGACCAGATCAAAAGCAGATCTTAAACGTAAAATTAGATTTGAATTAATTATAACAAAATAATAAAATTAATAATAACGTTGATATTCTTTTGCCATATTAACAATATTTATATTATTAACAGATTTAATATTAGTCTTCACTGCGTGTTCACTAATTCTACACTTCCTGGTTGCGGCCACATGAGCGTGTATGTAGCTTGAAAACTTTTCGTGATCATGTGACTTCGGCCCGGACTCTGATTGGCAGCTGCAGACTTTCTAACGGGATGCAGCTCGGTGCGTCCCGGACCCGTCCACTTTTGCTGCAAGCCAATTAATTTAGTCTTTATTTGCTTTTGTCTCCTGTGGTTGGATATCAAAACTGTCCTTCGACGTTCTTACGACTGAGCTTTCTGACACTGTTGCGGCCTTTCAGCTCCTCCGCTTCTAGATCACAGCTACTGTCGTGACGCTTAATGCATCGACCTGCTGTCAGAGGAGAGAAGGCTGCTCGTAGAAAAGACCGCGTGTAGAATTCATGTAACTGGGTTTAACCTCAGACAAATCTGACCTGAGAACGCCCTAGTTTATTATTTTTAAAGTCATTTTTGGTCACACACCTGTCAGACCACAGCCACCAAACAGCAGCTACCAGTCTGCTGTGTGGGGCGTTCAGGGAACATCAGGAAATCGTCTATCGATAACAAGATGTTCAGAAAGTCATATGTTTTGCCTTTGACCAGGTGGGAGGTGCAACAAAATGAGGAAGTGGGTCGTACTGGTGCTACCAGTGAAAGAGTCAGTCTGGAGCCCTGAATAGTGTTTTTTTTCATTATTTCTGTGTTTTGAGTTTGTTCAGATCCTGTAAATATAGATAAAAGTTTGATGACTGGTTTTGACATTTAGTTCTGGTCAGTCTGGATAATGTTAAATTAGATCATGATCAGAATATCCTCCAAAGGTAGAACATTTGCATTCCTGTAAATAGTTGATGTTACTCATATTGTAGTTTCTGATTTTAAATAAAAGCTCATTTACAGACTGCGCCTCCACCAAACATGTTCACCAGCCGCCACTGATACACACTGAAATACAAATGTAAGATTTTTGTTCACCGAAAAGAAAAACAGTGTTTTTAAACTTCATAGATTGAGTTGACATGAAAAATGTGAGAAATAAATACAAAGAAAGAATCTGGAATAAACGCAACAATATGAAATCTTTCTGATTTATTATAATTATTCTAAAATTAAAATGTAGTATTATTATTTTTTGTGTTAAATTAGTATTCATTTAAACAGTTTCCTAGTCAGAAATATACACACTAAAGTAGTTTTTGTCAAACTAAAACTAAAAGAATAGATGATTTATTTCCATTTATTTGTCATCCTTTAACTTTCCCTTTTAGAAACGCTGCAGAACTGATTTACTGGCCTCATTACTTGAACAGTTTGTCTTTAGGTGGCTCTGGTGTTCAATTTCTAAGAATTACCAGAAAATTGAGGCATTTTTTAGGCAAAAACGTGGACTTCTTGAGTCCTGCAATAGTAAATACTTCCATATGTGCTGATGTTGGTGTTTAAACCAAACAAAGGGAGGAGGAGGGAGCGCGCTGGTCCTCGGGGAGTTCACCGTTAAAGCTGCAGAAACTGTGCGATTGTTCTGAGTCTTGTGCGTTGCGTTAACTCCCGCTGCACGTTTAGATTCCTGCAGCCAGAACCCGACAGTTAAATAAAGGTTATTCAAACAAGATGGCTGTGTCCTCAGTGTGGACAGAAAGAGAGAAAAGCAGCGTTAGTTTGTGCAGCTCTGAAGCTGCAGCTGCTCTGCTGGCAGCCGCTCATCTGCTCGCAGTTCCTGTTTCTCACCAGCAGATGTCACTGCTGTGGTTCCTGTTTTTTGTTTTTTTCTCACTCTGTCTTTTTCTTCTTCTTCTTCTGCAGAAACTGGTTGCTCAGATGAAGCAGGACCCTCAGGTAAGAACTCACCGCCGCTCTACGAGACTCTGAAACACCACGCCGAGCTTCCACACACACTCACAGGCTCTGTTTTGCTTTTCAGAACGCAGATCTGAAGAAGCAGCTCCACGAACTTCAAGCGAAGATCACAGCGCTCAGCGAGAAGCAGGTACGTTCCTCCACGGCGCGCACTCCTTCCTGCTAATGAGCAGGTGTCTGTCTGCGGGGAGGTGAAACGAGGGAACGGTTCATTTAAAGGAGAAGTTCACGTCTTTCACAGGAGCTCAGTCGCTAATGACGTTCGTAGAGGCAGCAAAACGTCTCCACGTAGAGGAACGAGCTCATCAATTGTTTTGTCTATGAAGTGGCAGACAACTGTGAAAAGTCCAATTGTATTATGATTTCCACAGCTCCGTGTAATGTCTTTAAATGAGAGTCCGAAACCACAAAATACTGATTATTTACAGATTAAAAACAAACACAATAAAATAAAAAAGCAGGTAAATTTATAATAAAACAGTAAAATAATCATGAAACCTTTTGCTGCAGGTCACTCTCCTGCTCTGTTCCCACGCATTTCCAGAAAAAAGGTGTAAACCGCCCTAAAAATAATCTTTGAAGACAGAAAAACAACAGATAAAACAGCGAGAAAACGTTTTAATAAAGCAAAACCTTCCATTCAGATCCTCACGTTTGTGACTGAAAGCTGCAAATATTTGTCACTTTTGTGTAAAAAAGTGCTTAAAAAAAGCAGTTTTGAAATAGTTGTAGGTTAAACTTCTGTTGATCGACTAATTTCAGTCATTTTAAATCCAGTTTCAGTGTAAACAGTGAAGTGTAGAGGTGTGAATGAGACGAGTTCAGATGTTGTGTCAACCTGAAAGCGAGAGCAGTGAGTCTGGTTTCTGTTCTGTCTCTGATGCTCGTATTGTTTCTCTGTAGCCGATCAGTAGAGACGACGTTATGACTGAACTACGTCTGATTTCTGTCGCTTTGTGGAAATCTGATGTTTTACCTTCACAGCTGATCAACAGACTTTTAGACCTGCAGGTAGAAAATGAGAAATCGTCTGTAGCAGGAAACACACATGAAGTTAAACCTGAGAAGTTAGAAGTGATTTTAAAGTTTCTCGTATCCGCTGCACGTCGGATTTTTGTATGATGGAGACTTTAAATTAAAAAAAGAGGCCTTGACTTTAACTCTGGTGTGGTTTAAGGTGGATAGACTTGGATTTAAAGCTCAAGTGTAGCAGATGAAGGCCAAATACACAACTTTACATGTTCTGATAGAAAAGACAAACACACTAACAAAAGGCTGCAAGACGCAAAACTGAGACACAAACCAACTGTGAACTATGTTTGTTTGCTTCTCTTTCTGGTCATTTAGTCTCGTTATAGTTAGTTTGCGTCTCTTTGTGTCTGTTTTATCCCTTTGTGATAATTCTGCATTGCTTTGTGGTCATGCTGAATCTATTCCAAGCAATGTGACACCCATTCCACACATCTGGAGGCTCATATTGGGCCTCTCTGTGGTTGTTCTGTGTCTTCTTTGTGGTTTTGCGTCACTTTATGGTTATTTTGCATCTCTTTGTGGTCATTCTATGTAATTTTGTGGTCATTTTGCATCTTTTTTGGTTGTTTTGCATCTTTTGGTGGTAATTTTGAGACTTTTTTCAGTCAATTTGCATCTGTCGGTGGTCATTTTGCATCTTTTTATGATCACTTTGCATCTCTTATTGGTCATTTTGTGTCTCTTTTAAGTCAATTTCCATCTGTTTTTGATCGTATTGCATTTTTTGTGGTTTTGCTGGATCTTTTTTCGGTTGTTTTGGATGTTTTTGTAGTTATTCTGCATCTCTTTGTGGTCATTCCATGTAATTTTATGGTTGTGGTTGCTTGACACTGTGGTTGTGTTGCATCTTTTTTGGTTGTTCTGCATCTTTTGATGTTAACTTTGCTTCTCTTTACGGTAATTTTGAGTCTCTTTTCAGTCAATTTGCGTCTTTCTTTGGTCATTTTTTGTGGTTGTGTTGCATCTTTCCCGGTTGTTTTGTGTGTTTTTGTAGTTGTTTGGTATCTGCTGGTGGTCATTTTGCTTCTCTTTATGGTCATTCTGAGTCTCCTTCCAGTCAATTTGCATCTAGTTTTGGTCATTTTGCATTTTTTGTGGTTGTTTTGCATCTTTTTTTTGGATCATTTTACACGTTTTTGTAGTTGTAGTGGTA